TTTTTACCGAACACAGGTTAACCTGAGCAGTACCGTCATCCCACAGACCAATTAGCTCCTTTCTGCTTAAAGGCATGAAGAAAATCTTGGATTAACACATCAGAGAAATTTACCAAACGGAACAAGCACTGAATACGAAACGATTTACCTATCAATCAGGCAAATCCACTGAGACTGCCCTTCATAGCCTTACAAGGATTATTTAAAAGGCTCTGGAGTTTAAGAACATAGTCCCTTGTGCTTTCATTGACATTTCAGGAGCTTTTCACAACATGTCATATGGGTCAATAAGAGATGCCCTGATAGGCAAGGGAGTAAGCCCCACCATCAAGAGTTGGGTGATTTCCATGCTAAAAACAAGGAAGATCAGTGCGGAGTTGCGTGGCACGAAAGAATCTATTACGGGGGTTGCCTTCAAGGGATGTACTCTCTTCCTACTGGACGACTGCAGCTTCGAAACACAAGACTATGCGGAAGATCCGGTGGTCTGCGTAACAGGGTTGCATGGCCAAATGATCTCCAACGCATGAGCAACGAGCATGACGCCAAAGTATTTTCCATTAATCTTACTAAAACTACTCTGGTTACGTTTACCCAGAGAAAAGTAGTATCCATGACGGAATTTACTTTGGGCGGCACTAGAATAGTTCTTTAAAATGAAGCAAAATACCTCGGGGTGACACACATTTAGATGCAACCGCCAGCAAGGCGAAGAGATCTTTTTTCGCTTGCACGTGACTTTTTGCAAAACTTGGGGACTCTCCGCCAAAGTGTCCTACTGGCCATTTAACACGGTTGTAAAAAGTTTAGCACTTCTGAGAAATAAGTTGGAAATTTTGATGATTTTTCCTGAAAGTCACTTATATTCATTTATTCAACAATAAAAAACACTAATGCTATTGAAAAAAAAAATCCAAAATCAGTTTTTGCTGTTCAATAAATGACGTTAAGTGACCATCAGATTACGGTGCAGGGATGGTATTTTCAGAGATAGTAGTCGAGAGTTCTAGCTTTAATTTAAGCCTATAGCTGTTTGTTTCTTTTCTAGAGCTTATGAAATATTGCAAAAAACGCGACTTTTTT